CTGGGGATACCCTCTAGGAAGGGAAAGGCTGGCTTTTTCTTCATTTTCCAGATAAAGAAACTGACCCTCCAAAGAGATAAGCCAGTTTTATGAGGACACAAAACAAAATAGCAGCCAAGTGAAAACAGAATCAGAATTCTTCTCCTCTCAGGTTGTCGTTTACTTCTGGAGACAGATCAGCCCCAGTCTCGGGGAATCTGGGCTCTCCTGCACCTGTTTTTGAAAGCCAGGGAGATTCACACCCTCACACACAGAGTCCATGGGTACATCAGCAGTCTGGGACCCGGAACACCTCCTTGGCTCTGAGAAAAGCTCTTACACTGTCCCCACCTTCCCACAGGACGCAGACACCCCTAAAGCTCTATTTTCCTTTGAGCCAGGTCCTTAAACTTGGCACAATCTTACCTACCAACGGGGTACCCTTGCCATATCAATCTCAAAGGTTCTGAGAGGCACTTCCCTGCCTTTTCTATTTGTTACCTGGTACCTAAAATCCAGCTGCTGGCTTCAGGCAACACAAGCAAATAGCTTTCATCTCAAGGGCTCTGGGGGAAGACTCGCAAGGCCTGGTCTGGGCTGAGCAGGGAGTTAGTGTCCCTGTCCCCACCTGCCAGGGTACTCGGTCTAGATCTGGAATAGGCCAGAACAAACTTGTTGTGGGAAAAACAGAAATCTGAAGCCTGTGCTTTTGTCATAGTTCCATTTTAAACATTATCTTTTAAAGTGCAGAAATAACACCCTAATACATTTTTGTCACAGTACAATTTTCCAATAGTACAGAAGTACACAGAACAATAAAAGTCTTTCTTTGTCCCATTCCTTTCCCATCCCTGGGCCCAAGGAGAGCCACTGTAATTTATGTATCCATGTATGTCTTTTTGTGTGCTCGTATAGACTTACATGTATTTTGTAAAAACAAAATACATAGTTTTTTTAAAATAAATGAGATGTTATAGGTATTATTCTATGAATTCCATTTTAACCTTTAAACTGTGTATATGACTTTGGAAATGGCACTTTACCTCTCTGGGTCCCAGTGCTCTCATCTGAGAGATAAAATGGCAGGAGCGGGTAGATAAGGCAGCCCAGAGGTCCTGTCTCATCACCAGGAAGCGGAGGTGGAAAAGGGAGCTGGGATCTAGGGCAAGAGGGGAAGTTGGAAGGGCCAGGGCTGTGCCCCTGGGCCTGTGTGCATGGCCCTTTCCAGCTGACTCTGCATCTAGCCTCTTAACACATGAGGAAACTGAGGCCTGGAGAAGCAACGTGACTTGCCCAACAGTTACCAGGAGTTACAGGTGGGGCCGGATTGAGAGGCGAGCTTCCCTTTTCCAAGCTCAGTGCAACTCCCCTAACCCTCGGAGAACTGGAGTCTTGTTCTATGGTGGATCTGGGGCCTTGCAGACCTTGTCTTGGAAGTTCCCCCAGTCTTCCCCAGAGCCCCAGCCATTCCTTCCCTGCAGGACTGCCTTCCCATTCCCAACACCAGCCATTTGGCACGGTGCTCAGAATTTCACCATTAGCAGTTTATTCCTTTGGAAAAAGGCAGAAATTCTCAACCTTGGCACTATTGACATTTGGATGATTCTTGTTGTGGGAAGTGCTGTCTCATGCATTACAGAATGTTTAGCAGCATCCCTGGCCTCTACCTACTAGATGCCAACAGTACCCCCTGAATCGTAACAATCCAAAACTCCTCTAGATATTGCCAAATGTCTTCTGGGGGCTGCAAAATCACCCCAATTGAGACAACTGGGCTAAGGGATTGTCCCCAGTGATAATGAAAACACTCTGGAGAAGGACAACCCCCAACAATTATACATTTCTCAGTGTTTACCAGACCCTTTCCAAGGGCACCAGTTGGCTACGACCAGTGTGGGGAAGAGGAGAGAAAAAAAGAATATTTAGAAGAATTTATTCCTACCAACCCCCTTTTTGGATTTTTCATGGGCCTGTGGGAAGAAGGTTCAGTTAACAATCCCCTCTAAAGAAAAAAGAGCCCCATCCCCACACAGTCTGGGGGTCTATGGGGCACTTGATCCAGGTCTGGTGTTGCCCAATAGAAACCAGTAACACTTCAAAGAAGTTGGCGAAGAACACGAAAGGAAAGAAGTGGAAACAATGCCCCAGTCACAAAAAATTCGTGGATTCCTCACCCATGAGTCTCCCTTCACCCTCTTGGAGAAGGTTGGGTAGGCATAATAACCATGTATGGGTGAGATTCGTCGATCATGGTCCAGCCGGGAAACAGAAAACACTCAAATGAAAGAAACTTAAAACAGAATTGGCACATGGGTTATGGAAGCCAACAGGAGACAGGGAGGCAACCCAGAAAATAGACCAGGAAGCAGCTGTCATCTCTAGAGCTGGAAAGACAGCAAGGTAACGTAGCATTATAGGTCCAGAAGCCTCCAAAGTTATCTGGTAGGAACTTAGTAGTGGGGGCTGCCTGATGATGGGATTATGGAAGGAGGGAAGGAAGAAACACAACCAACTGCGGGAAAACCAATCAACTAAAAGCAAAGGGCTTTAGGTGTTGAAGAAATAGCCTAACTTCTTCCCTTTCCCCGCCCACCTGTCCTCCGCCTACCTATCTTCCTATTGGCTGAAACTACCCAGCAGCCTGAGGGAAAAGGAGTCTGGGAAATGTAGTTCCCAGTAGAGAATACAGCTCCGCGCGGGGAAGGGTGAAGAACAGATCTGCAAGGAAACCAGCCCCACCTCCCCACTCCACCCCCCCCCAAAAAAAAGACCCCCAGAGAGGTGAAGTGATGGGACCAGGATTAAAATCCAGATCTTGGGGATCTTTCTTTAGGACGCAGAGAGTCCTTGAACGCTGACGTGACAGCGCGTGGTTAGCAGCAGAAAGAAAGATATAGTTAAATCAACTTGTGTTAGAAAAGATATGAGTTAGTGCTTTTTGTGAAGCAGGGAGCTTTGACTAGAAAGAGCATGCAGGAACTTTTTGAGGTATTTCTAGGGAGATACACAGCATATAAGAAAGTGAAAATTATGATCTGTATATGTAAGATTAGTGTACTTTATGCACTCCGTTGTTCATGTGTTACACTTAAAAAGAGAAGAGTTGCTGTCTTTTAGAGTAAAATCCTGAAATATTTTCAAGTGAAATGACATATGTCTGGGATATACTTCGAAACAATTAAGGGGAGATTAGAAGAGTTGGGGAGGATTACATAGAAGAAATAAGACGCCCTGAGTTGAAGCTGGGAGTTCATGAGCTATTTTCTCTCCTTTTGCGTATGTATATGTTATGTGTAAATTTCCACAATAAAAAGTAAAATGAAAAAAGAGAAAAAAGAATATAAGGCCACTACACATACATACCTTTATGCATTTAAGAGCTCAGCGGTAAGTCCAGTCCCAGCCCCCAATTCCCTTGCCCTGAAAAGAGCCACAGCCCTGAGCAGTGCATGTCATTCTGATGTTTCTTCCCTTCTGAACAGCCTTGGACCATCGTGTAAGTGCAGCAGAGTACAAGTCCCAGGCCTGCACCAGGAGAGGAAAATGCAATGTCTAAAGCTCTGGCAGACCCCTTCACTCTTGTGTGAGCTCCTGCACCAGGACTTCCCAGTTCCTCTACCTAGAGCCTGCCCAGCCAGTCGGACAGACCAGGGTGAGGATGAACTGGGCCCTCCAGGGTAGGAGGTGAGGACAGTGCCTAGGTGACCTGTCTCATGAGAGTAAGTCAGCCCCTCATGCCAAAGGAGGCACCTTGAGTCACCAGGAGGCAGCATGGTTGCTGGTATGAGCTGGGGCCCAGAAATCAGTAGCCCTGGACTCTAGGCTACTTCTGCCATGGACTGGCTATGTGACACGGGCAAGGCATCGTTCCTTTATTCCATAGATATGTACTGAACACGTGGTATGTGCCAGACTCTGCTAAACACTGAGAACCCAGACTTAAAGATTCAGTCCAGGCCACTGCAAAGCTCTCAGCCTGGTGCGGCAGACAGTAAACACCTGGTCACAGAGCACAGTCTGCATGGGGGCTGGGCAGCCTGGGGTGGGCGTGCTTCTAAGAGCCCCAGTGAATCTCAAGGACAGGTGAGACTTAGCCAGGAGACCAGAGAGCCTGGCATAAAGGGGGAGGTGGGTGGCAACTGTAAGTCACTCCAGGGGCACTATTAATGGGTTGCAGGGAAGTGATGGGAAGAAAGGGGGCAGGCACAAGACTCAGCCTCACTGGAATCCTGGTCTCCTCTACTTGAGCCTCAGTCTTTGCAACTGAGGGGACTGGTCTGGGTGGGGTCTCAGCCCCCTCCAGTTCAGAGGGATTCAAAGGCTCCTGGGCGAGGAAGCTGGGAAGAGAGCGACTGCTGCCCAACTACAAGGCGGCTGCAGCTGCCCCTACTAATCAGGAACTCAGTCTACACATCCTCCCCCTTCTCTAAGGACAGGGGAGCAGGGGCTGCACCCTCTGGAGTACCTTGTGGCAAACCTGTGCCAATCAATGTGTGGACTGGGTAGATGAGGGGAGGGGAAGGGAGGGCTGGTGGCAGGCTTGTTACTCCTTTGTAGCTTATCTTAAAAAGTCACACAACAGAGAAGGAATCCAGGAATCCAGATAGTCTGCCACCCGGGACTTCTGGTTTCCAGATGCTGCGTCTGGCTGGCTGTCCCTGGGTCTTTGCACTCTCCATGTTTGACAGTTCCAGGCCCTCCATTTTTCAGATCTGACACCCGGCTGGACACGGCTCAGTCTTGAAATCCATCCATTCGGGTCAACTCTGCCCTAGCTGGGCTCTCAGAGGCCCATCTGAGGATTGTCCACTGGCTCTGCTACCCCTTTCCCACTAGCTGGGCCTGTGTCTGCAGTCCTCCAGTCCCAGTCAGGCTTCCGAAGAAGGGAGGAGGCCTAGTTCCGGCCCTGCCGCCCTCACGTGCTTTCCCAGCCACCCCCTCCCACCCTTCAACAGGCACACAGGCCTGTTCCTCTTCCCGATTGTGATTGCGACAGCCTGCCTTAGCTCCCAGCACTCCCTGTCCCCGCCCCCGTGGCCGGCTAGCTCCACTCCCACTTCCTGAGCCTGGCTCTGGAGCCTTGGAGGCCAGGCCAGGCCCGGCCGCTTTGGCCCCTGGGGGCACATCGGCCTGAGTCCTGTCCCGGCCCCTGGGCTCGGGAGGCTGCTGCCACCACTGCCCAGGACGGCCAGGCCTCACATCTAACTCCTTGGCCTCCACCCATCTGGTCGACTGGCTGACTGGCCGCCATGCGCCTGCTGTGGGCCACCTCCCTCTGCGGCCTGGCCTGGGGGCCACTCATACTAGGCCTCTGTGATCTCCTGGCAGCTTCCCAGCCACAACTGGTGAGGGGGCTGCGTGCAGGTGGGTGGGGGTGGACTTGGGTAGGGAAGAGAGGTCTGGGCACCTCCCTGTCTGCCCTCCCCAGCTGATCCCTGAATAATTCTTCCCCCTCCTCTATCTCCCCTTGCAGGTACCCCCATACAACACAGAGAACCAAACCTGCCAGGACCAGGAAAAGGAGTACTATGAGCCCAAGCATCAGGTCTGCTGCTCCCGCTGCCCCCCAGGTGAGAGGCAATGGCCAGAGGAAGCCTGGGAGGTGGGTCACAGGGGACTCTAGTCTACCTTGCTGCCTTAAAGGGAAGGCACACACTGTCTCCAAGGGAAACCAGCTGGCAGAGACAGAGAGTGAGAAACACTAGCCATCCCTCAAATGCAGGCACTGAGAGGGACAGGCCCAGGGTCACATAGCAAGCAGCAGAGATGAGGGTGGAACCCTGGGTCCCCTGACACTCCTATTGCCCTATGCCCTTCCAGGCACATACGTCTCAACTGAATGCAGCCGCAGCCAGGACACAGTTTGTGACAAATGCAGTGAAAATTCCTACAATGAGCACTGGAACCATCTCTCCAACTGCCAGCTGTGCCGCCCCTGTGACTGGAGTGAGTGGGGTGTGCCTGGGGAGGGCTGGGATCCCTTGGAGCACAGTTCCTCCACTGAGCTCTCCTGTCTCCCCACAAGTACTGGGCTTCCAGGAGACTGCGCCTTGCACTAGCAAACAGAAAACCCAGTGCCACTGTCAGCCAGGAATGTTCTGCATCTTTTTGGGCCATGAGTGTGTACACTGCGAGCCACTCTCTGACTGTCCACCAGGCACCGAAGCTGAGCTCAAAGGTCAGAGGTTATTAAGGGCTGAAGGTAGGGAGGAGTCTGGGTGCCAGTGATCTTAAATGGGGACAGGGAACAGTTCTGTGTGCGCGGTGAGCCTCCAGGTAGTTCTCTTCAGCATTAAAAGCCTCTTCTCCCTGCCTGTGAAAAGCTCATAGAAGGGATCTGCAGAGAAATGAAACTGGGACAGGGGCAAGGGGGCGGGGGCGGGATAGGTGTCCCCCTCAGCACTGGGGAACCTGGGGGAGATCGGGAAAGGTGCAAGCTACAGAATGGGTGGGTAGGCAAAGAGGAGCCATCCAGTGGGCGTAAAGGAAGCTCAGAGCTGAACAAGAGGCTCCCTTTGCCCACTCGCCTGGTGGCCTTCCCTTTCTCCTGCCAGGTGAAATTGGGAAGGCTAATAGCAACTGTGTGCCCTGTAAGGCAGGGCACTTCCAAAACGCGTCCTCCCCCAGCGCCCGATGCCAGCCCCACACAAGGTGAGTATGGCCATGTTCCTCCCGCCCTCTCAGAAGCGTCAGCTGCTAACAACCCTAACCCCATGCTCAACTCTATGAGACCCTCCTTGCCACTTGCCACTTCCAGCCATGTGCCCTCTTGAGTTGGACCTCTCCTTTCCTCCACAGGTGTGAGGACCAGGGCCTGGTGGAGATAGAGCCAGGCACCGCCAAGTCTGACACCAGCTGCAGAAAGCTACCAGAGCCCCCTGAGATGCCAGGTGAGGGACCAGGTGAGGGGCATGAGGTTGGGGGTATCTAGGAAAATGCCTTACTTTCTCCTGTCTGAAAAAATGGGGAAAATATGAATCCTTCCCTCTCAGAATGGCAGCAAGAAGAAAAATTCCTAAAAGAGAAATTGGAGTGTCCTCAGGCCAGTTTACACCCACACACAAACACACACAAACACACACACACACACACACACTTTTCAAGTTATATAACTTGAAATATATAACATATATAATATTATTATTCCAAAGAATGATAATAATATTCCAAAGAATGCTTCCACACTGGGATGTAACGGTAACTGACATCACTGTCATCAGTTTAGACATGCCACCATCATATAATTCATTTACTGGATTAAATACCTCTTTATTAGATTACACACTTTTGTTGTTAGAGAGATAACTCCACATTTGACTCTTTTTTTGTTTTTTTCTATGCGGTCATTCATTTCCTAGCCTAATAGACAATTATAGGATGTTTCTAATGATTGTAATCATTATTAATTGAGGAAGAGTTATTTTATTAACTTTTTTAAATTAGCAAATATTCATAATCTTAGCTTCCATTTATGGAGAGCAAGTGTGGCAGGCACTGTCTGAACACCTGACATTCACTAATAATTTAATCCTCTTATTGGTCCTACAAAGTAGTTCTTTGATCATTCTCACCTATGGGATGAGGAAACTGAGGCTCACAGAGATGACATGACTTGCCCAAGATCATCCACGTGGCAACTGGTGTTATGAAGACGTGTAAACAGGTCTTTTTACTCCAAAGCCCATGCCAGAATGCATGCGCACTGTATATAAAGTTAGACAATTCAGATACAACTAAAATTCGGCCACAGGACCATCACCTAACAAATCCACTCTCAAACCTTTTTTTGGTTTTGTTTTTCACTCATTTTTAATATATCCTCTAAGACATTTTTCTATGTGTGTCTATACATGTATTTTTTTTTTTTTTTGCTAAAAGTGGGGTCATTTGAATATTTTATAACCTGATTTTTCATTCAACTACATCATAAATATTTTTCCATTTCCTCTTATTAATTTTTAACTATGTATCAAATATGAATGACATTTTAGAGCTGGAATTTTAGAGTCTAACTCCTTTATTTTACATATGAAAAAACTGATCTTTGAGGTGAAATGAATTAAAAAGTCACACAGCTGAACAGGAACCCAGGTGTTCAAGACTCCAGGTCAAATGTCTTCTCATGCCTCCCATTCTGCACTCTATTCAGCCACAGATTTAGGTAGAACAGAAAGGGCAAACTCCCAGGATACAAACGTCCAAGTCTTCTGACCATCCTTAGCGTGGCCGATGGGCACTGTAGACTCCATGGATGGCGGCACTGAGGCCCACAGAAAGAGAGAAATTATCCACTGCCAAACATCAGGTCCTGAGAAACCGAACTCCCACTTCTTCTTGGAACCTGCAAGAGGGTGGAGGCCTTGCAAGCCCTACTCTCCCAGGCAGCCACAGGCAGAGGGTTCAGAAGCAAGGCTCCCCTACTCTCCCACCTCTGAACACACCCACAGGTACAGAGGAGCAGTCTCAGTTCCTACAGTGGCTTCTCTGTATGATGGTCAAGTCCACAGAAATGTGGCTCTACCCTGTAGCCTGAGTCTGCTTACCACTCCAAGCCCCACCCTCCTTGTACTGCCCCCAGCCCCACTTCCAGCCCTTGAAAACCAACTGCCCAAGCTCCTGTCCTCACACAGTGGACACCTGTACCAGCCCAAACATCTCCATTCATAATAGAGTTTCTCTTGGCTGTTAGCAGATCCCTCCAATTCTGAGTTCTCCTCTGCAATCCAGAGAAGTATCTCTAATTCTGCCTTTAGGAACAGCAGCTAAAGAACTGGAACGCTGTTCCTTAACTTCCTTCTCGGGTCATCTTTCCCCTTTCTATCTGCTGTCCTGGCAGGAACTATGCTGGTGCTGGCCATTATGCTGCCACTGGTCTCCTTACTGCTCCTCTCCACCATCCTCGCCTGCACCTGGAAGAGCCACCCCTCTCTCTGCAGAAAGCTGGGTAAGAAGGGCTGGATGCAGTCAGGGATGAGGCTGGCCTTCTGTCCCCGCGTGGATGGGAGAGGGGATTTGGAGGGACTATTCAACTACCCCAGTGCCAACCCATCTGCCCCTCCGCATCCTCAAGACTCCCAATGCCTACCCCCAACATAGACATCATCTCCCTCTAGCCCTCCATTCTAAGGCTAGAGATAAGGGTAATGACAACTTATTCCTTCTGGGACCCCGGGGTGGGCAGCAACACATTGTGGTGGGGTGTGGAGATTGAAAGCCTGCCAGAGGCCTCACACCCATTTCATTTCGTTGCAGGATCCCTGCTGAAGAGGCATCCAGAGGTAACTGGGAAGGCTGAGAGGCGGAGGGGGAGAGTGAACGAGGTTGGAGTAGGCAGGAAAAGAGTGTGCAGGCTTCAACATTCATTCATGCATTCAATAAATAATTTTTGAGCACACCATGTGCCAGGCACCGTCCCAGGCATGTAGGTATAGCAGAAAATAAAACAAAGTAGCTACCCTCCTAGAGTTTCAGGCCAGTGGAGCAGAAATAAAGTTAAACAAATACATATCAGGTGGTGATAACGGTGGGAAAAAGCAGCAAATGGGTCAGTGAGTGACAGTGGCAGAGGATGGGGGTATATTATCTTAGTGGACAGAGAAGGCCTCTCTGATAAGCTGATATCTGAGCAGAGAGCTAAAGAAATGAGGAAGCCAGGCATCAGGATATCTGGGGAAAGTACTCTAGGAAGCAAGAACATCAGGTGCAAAGGCCTGAGGCAAGGAGCATGAGGAAGAGCAGAGGTGGGTGATGAGCTGCCCAAGCTGGGGTGGGGCGTGGGAATTAAAGAGGGAGTCTGAGGCCCACATCATTTGTTGGTTCTCTGCCTTCTCTCCTGCAGAGAGAGGAATCAAATACTGCTAACGGAAGCTGGGAGCCTCCAAACATCAACCCACACTTCCCTGACTTGGTAAAGCCACTTCTGCCCATCCCTGGAGACGTGACCCCTGCCTCGGCCTGGCCTCCAGCGACCTCAGGATTGGAGGAAGAGGTGCTACAACAGCAGAGTCCTCTGAGCCATGCCAGGGAGCTGGAGGCTGAGCTCCCAGAGCAAGGCCAGGTGGCCCATGGTGAGCAGGCTGCAGAGAGAAGAGGGGGTGAGGCAGATGGGATGGGAGAGACGATGGGCAGGGAGAGAGTGTGAGTCAACCTGAAATGTGAAAACTAAAATGGAGACAAGACAGAGGCTCTGACAGCTGGTCAGAGTGTCCCAACTAGAGGGGAAGGGGAGAGACTGAAAAACCCAGAAACAGAGAAATGAGTACAGAGCTCAAGAAACCAATAGCATATGGGAGGTGGGGAGAGAGAAGCACGGGGAGGAGGCAGAAGAACAAGGACATTTGGGAAGCAGGGGGTCTGATGCAGAGGGCACACAGGCCTTCTTTCCTCAACCATGTCCCCTCAGCCCCTCTCCTTCTGCTTCCTTTCCCATAGGTACCAATGGCATTCATGTCACTGGCGGGTCTGTGACTGTCACTGGCAACATCTATATCTACAATGGGCCAGTACTGGGGGGAACACGGGGCCCTGGAGACCCCCCTACTCCCCCAGAGCCTCCATACCCCATCCCTGAAGAGGGTGCTCCTGGTCCTCCCGGGCTCTCTACACCCTACCAGGAAGATGGCAAAGCTTGGCATCTGGCTGAGACAGAGACACTGAGGTGCCATGCCCTCTAACAGCGCCAAGGACCTAATTTGTCACCCATGCTTGATGGTGCCTGGGAAAAGCCAGGAGAAGGGAAGCACAAGAGCGCCTTCCCCCCGAGGCTGCCCTACCCTCACAGGATTGACAGAGGGCCTGAGGAGGGCCCCTGAGAGGCAAACTCTTAAGAGGCCAGGCCTCAGATACGACTCCGAGAGCAGGGCCGGGCACTGGCTGGGTACAGTGCCCACCGCGGGACTCTCACCACCGCCTGAGCAGGCCTGAGACTTCGTTGCAGAACCCCTGCCCACTGGGGCTGTACTAACTCAGCATCAGTCACAGACAGAGCACGTGATGCCTGCTGCTGTCCACCATGGCACTCTGCACCCAAAGCATGGCGCAGAAGGAGCCAGCCACATGCATGGACATCACTGAGACCTCTAGCGGATTTGTGGCACCCATCCTCAAGCTTCAGAGGCCTTTCGAGGACCCACACTTCACACGGACTGAGGTAGACCCTATACGAAGATGGAGTTACATGGAGGACCACCCTTCCCCTCCCCTCCTACAGAGGAAAGGGAGTCATTAAAAACTGGGGGTTTGGGTAGGGTTACTACGAATAAGAGATAGTTTCAGGTGGGTGGGGGAGGAAAATAGCAAGTATATTTATAAATTGTAACCACATGCAAATAAATTGGAAATTTAGACATAGATAATTTATTTTCTTGGGATCGATATAGAAACATTGTGCCACTGGAGCAATATCAAAGGCAAAGATCAAAACATTAAAATATAATCCCACAAAGGTATTTCTATGAGAGACCAGTATATATAATTCAGGTTATAATAATATTAGCCAATATCTTGACGACGTGCCAGGCAGTGTTTAAATGCTTTACAATAATGATTCATGTAATCCTCACAACACCCCCATGAGCTAGATACTGTTACTATTGCCATTCAACAACTGAGGAAACTGAGGCACAGAAGGGGTAAGTCGCTTGCCAAATTCAGCTACAAATGGCAAAACTGGGCCTTGCATCCAGTTAGTCTGGCTTTAGAGGCCTCTTGGATAAAAACTTCACATATCCTTCCAGAATTTCTTTGCATGAATAAAATGGTCCAGTTTTCTCAAAAAATCAGACCTCCTGCATGTTCCACAGGCATTAGGTCTCACAGCCACAATGCAGAGTGAAAAGAGTTCTGCAAGGTTGATTGCAAGGAAAGATATGCACTTGAGACATAAAAATGTGGGAGGCCAAGGTCACCTGCTGGTGCAGAGATCTAGGCTGATCTCCTTTCACTCGTAAGGAGCACTCATGGTTTTTACTTTCTTTCTTTTCATCTTATTTTATTTTTTCCCCAAAAGAATTTTAAATCTTCCAAGCTCTCTTTAGTGAAAGTTTGGGGCCCCAGAACTTATCCACCATGCTGCCCAGTAGAGACGATCTTAGCTTGAAGGATTGTGAGGAGAGCGGCTGCCAGCTGACTGCTCCTTCCATAAAAGGTCACTATCTGGGTCTAATGTTAAGAATTCTGTTGCTGGTGTTCATTAAGATGGTGTGGCTATAAAACACATACTCCAGGAGTCGTCTTATCCAAGTGAGGGGTTACTTAAGGTTGACCATCAAAGTATTAGATCCAACTTCCTTTCTTGAGAAGTAAATAATGGTGAGCTGTATGTTTAGATAGTTAAATCCTCTTGGTTTTGTAGTATGCTAGAGCCAGATAACATGAATCCTTAATAATTGCTCCAATGTGTTTAGGTAAAAAACTAAATTAATACATTTTCAACAAAATAAAAGAAAAAATTTTAAATAAGCGGTGCTAAGGCACAATCCTATGTGACACCACTCCACTTTAGGATTACAACTGCCTATATTAATTTGCTGGGGTTGTCTTAACAAAGTACAGTAGATGGAAAGGCTTAAAAAAACAAAAACAATTTTCTCACAGTTCTGGAGGCTAGAAGTCCAAGATTAAGGCATCGGCAGAGTTGGTTTCTGAGGCCTCTCCTTGGCTTGCTCATGGCTCTCTTCTCCGTCTTTACAATGTCTTCCCTCTGCGTTCTGTATCCTAATCCCCTCTTCTTATAAGGAAGCTAGTCATACTGGATTAGGCCCACCCTAATGGCCTCCCTTTAATTTCATTATCTCTTTAAGGACCCTATCTACAAATACAGTCATGCTCTGAGGTGCTGGGGATTAGGAATTCAACACATGAACTGTAGAAGACAATTCAGCCCATGCTTATTTTGCCAGGGCTGAGTTAGTACAGGCTCCAAGACACATTAACAGAGAGGAGTTCCTGTCTACAATGAAAGCTAATAAAAAATCAGTGAAGACAGCATCTTGCCTATCGTCTTCAAAAGATGGAACTGTATACAATAGTAGTTAATCATGGCATAATTAAGACTGAATCTCAGTCGTCTCTCTTATATTATTTTTGAGAACCCCACTCCTATACCACATGGAGGAGAAAGCAAATACTGGATCTAACCAGTGTCAACATGGTCCAGGGAGGCCTGTAAGGGGGCTAAGGCAGCAGTCCGGGAGACAGATGGATGTAGTTATACAGAGCAGCAGCAGTGGGACATGTGGGGCTATGTAGTCCTAGGGTAGCTAAGAATGTCTTTTTCTGAAAGATGGAGCAGTTCACATGGACAGCTGTGATGAATTCTTTCTGCTACCCACCCGACAGACTTCTGCACCTTTCCTAGGAACAGAACCCCATTTCTGTACTAAAGCAGAGATTCCATGATATCAGGAGAGGAGACCCTTCCTCCAGTCTCAGGAGCCAGTAAACCCAATTCCCCTTTGCCAGGATTAATATAGGATGGGGGCCTGGGATCCATTTCTGGCCAATGACATGTATAAGGAAGTCTTGTTCCCAGGTCAAAAAGCATCATTAGGAAAAGGTTTTTGGTTTTCCTTGTCCTTTCTCATTTGGGGGATGTTTGTTTGAAGACATGATGCCTGAGCTGTGCAGCCATCTTACTAACACGAAGAAACAGCTATGGAGATAAAAAGCCAATCCTCTGAGGATGGAGGTCCTGAAGAAAAGAAAGAACCTGGTTCATGAGGCGTCACTGAGCAGCTGAACCAACCGTCAGTAAGCATTTACTTTGGGCTTCTTTTTATGAGAGAAGAACTCCCATTTGTGTAAATCACAGTAAGTCAAATTTTCCTCTCTCTCTCTTTTTTTTTTGTTTTTTTTTTTTGTTTGTTTTACTTTTATCTGTTTCCTCTTTTTGGGTAAGTAATTTATTCATGTGGCTCAAGATACAAAAAGCATCAAAGAGTAAACAGCGAAATGTCTCTTTTTCACTCCTATCCTTCAATCATCTTGGTCCTCTCCTTGGAAGCAACCATGTGACTGTTTCTGATGCTTTTCCAGAGGTCATTTATGCATATTCAAAAATATATATATACATAGACATCTTTCCTCTTTTTTTCCCACAAATGGTAGCACATTCTCTATATATTCTTCCCCTTGCCTTTTTCATTTATCAAAATAGCTTGGCCATGATTCCATATCAGTATTAAAAAACTTCCTCCTTCATTTTTATATCTGCATAGTATCCCATTATATGGCTGCATCATTTAACTAGTTCTCTTTGAGGATTTTTCATTCATTTCCAATGTATTACAATTTTATAATAACAACCATATTGACTTGTCCATGTGTGAGTATTGCTATTAAAAAATTGCTAGAAATGAAATGGTGAGTCAAAAGGTACAAATATTTTATTTTGACAAATATTACCAAATTGTCCCCCATATATATTGAATGTTAGCAATTTTTAAGAATATCCATTTCCATATACAAACGCTGACATTGGTACGCTATCAAACGTTTTGATCTTTGTCAATGTGAAAGGTGAAAAATGTTATCTCAGTGTAATTTTTATTTGTATTTCTTATTGTGAGGGAAGTGTTTTTTATTTCCCTGTGACTGAACATTTTCATATGTTAAAGAGTCATTTGTAATTTATTTTCCATTAACTGTTCATATCTCTATTTTTCTACTGGACGATTTCCAAACGTTATCTTGTTATCCCCAAATCATCTACTAAACAATAATTTTTTCTTCCCTAATTTGAAACACTACTATTATAAAGTGAATTTGTGTATGAATTTGAATTCACTCTAGATTTTCAATTCCCTTCCTTCTATCTGTCTTTTTAATTTGCTAGCACCACAGTCTCAACTATTTTAGCTTTATATTTTAATATCTATTAGGGATCCTTTTAATATTCTTTTTCAAAATTTTCCTAATATATTTTATTTCTTATTCCACATGAACTTTAAGATCAGCTTATCTAGTACCCCGCCCTCCCCAAAAAAATTTCTATTGGTATTTGGGTTGTGATTGCATTAAACTTTTAGATTAATCAGGAACAACTGGCATCTTCCTGGTGTTAGCCTTCCTTTCAAGAAATAGTAGACCTCTCTATTTGCTGATCCTTTTTGTGTCCCTCAGTAGTATTTTAATGTTTAATTTTCAAAAATATAGATCTCGAGTATTCTTTGTTAAGTTCATGCGTTCCTGAGTGTTTTATCTCTGTTAAGTAGTATAGGATGGGATCTTTTCTGTCTTTAATTTTTTTTTTATCCAATCACCTACTGAATTTTCTTATTATCTATAATAGTTTGACAGTTGATTCTCTTAGATTATCACCTATAAATAATGTGGAACTTATTTCTGTCTAATTTTTATATTTGTAATATATTTTAACCTTGTCTAAATGCATTGCCTAGTACCTCTGGAACAATGCTAAATAGTAATGGCCATTAATGGACATCTCTATCTTGATCCTGATTTCAATGTAAATACTTTTAATATTTCCCCATTAAGCAGGAGTTGAAATAGATATATTTATTTTATTATGTTAAGGAAATACTCATCTCTTACTATTTTATGGAGCTTTAAAATCAGTAATAGATATTGAATTTTTATGAGAAACTAATGTCTTTTAAGCATTTGTAGAAATCATTACACTACTTTTCTCCTTAAATCTATCGATCTGAGGAATTACATAAATCAGTTGTCTAATACTAAACTACCCTTATCTTCCTGGAATTGATCTTGGTGTATTCTTTTTTTAATGTATCTCTGGGATTCTGTTTGCTAATATTTTATTTCAGATTTTATCAGTGAGCTTGGTCTATAATACTGGTCTGTTTTATGTTCCTCATAACTGAAGAAATTTCCAATATAACAGTTCATCCTAAAGGAATCGTATCTTAGAGTTAATTTTATTATATATATAGGACTGCCAGCCTCTCATCTTTCCCAATCCATTGTTAACACATCCTCCATCCACATTTCTGCTCAGCACAGAGTTATACAGTTCTATGTTAAGAGATCTTCTAGGCATCTTTTCATTTTTATATGCTTATCATGAAAGTCACTTGTCCCAGTAGTATACCTCTGAGATCCTCAAATTATGGAATGACCACCTGTTTGATAAAGTAGCTTGTTCAGTCAAATAGGATGATTAATGCAGAACCCATTCCAGAGCAACAAGATCCCAAAGGTAATTATTGTCATACTTGAGGGTTGCGTCTAAAGCTTCCCTTTGGGATTAGTCTTATTTATAAAAGTTCCAATAGAACTTTCTGTAATGATAAAAATTATTATCTGTACGATCCAATATGGTAGCCACCAGCCACATGTGGCTAATGAGCACTTGAAATGTGATTAGTGCAATGAAGAAAATGAATTTTTAATTTAATTTTATATAATTTCATATTTAAATAGATACATGTGGCTAGTGGCTTGTGCTAAATGGCACAACCCTAAGTGG